TGCCATACTAACATTGATAGCAATACTCATCAGTGCTGCAAAGGCCATTTCATACCTGCAGTGTAGGGTTGATATGTTGGTCTTTCAGTGGTGATACAACCCTACAGGGGCTTGTTTGAATTCCTTTTATACTTTCAAACCAGCAACCCTACAGGGGCTTGTTTGAATTCATTTCATAGGTTCAAATTCAACAGAGGCTCAACCCTACACTAAATAATTTTTTAAATTTTTTGTTTCTAGTATAATACCTCTTACATTATGTACAGCAGTTTAGGAGAGGCTATCATGAAGATGTCAATGATTTATGCAAATGTGGACTTTTGGTTAGCTAGCTTCCTTTGTTGGTCTCGGCTACACGAGGCATAGGTCCCTAAGTACAGTAGCTTCACAAACGCTCCAGCCTATCACTAACTATGCTCCCCATACTCCATTAAAACATAATTCAACTCTTCCTTCATTTTGTGTTAAACCCATCAGTCAATCTTACAAATCTTACATCACTAGTAGTACAATTAGAGTGAACTCAGTACACCTGGATAATATACAATCAATTTTATCATTAAAGCATAATTACATTACACTTAAATTGTCACACTAGATACTGCAGCATCATCATAATGAGGGCAAGTGACTGTATATTCAGTCAATCCATTCATAAGACAGTTCCATAATGATACTGTATAGGGGGTAGATTTCATGGGGGTTTAATTTTGCTAATTTCATGGTTTTAAAAAATTTGTAAAAATTTTTATTTATGAAAATTATTTTTTATCATACTAATAATGGTCAGTAGAAGAAATTTTTTCTTGTGAGTAGGTTGAAGGGTAATTTTCATGAAATATTTTCCCCAGGAAATATACTCCCTATATGGTAATTCATTACCAGTACAGTTTGTCTTTTATTATAAATATGAATAGTCTTTCCTTTTTATTCCTTATTTCTCTCCTTCTATTGCCTGGAGCGTAATTATTGTATTTTCATGAATCGTGACATGAAGAGGATGCTATATACACTACTCTCAAACTCGCTTTCTGTCATATTTGCACCATTAATTATTGTCTGTATAATTATTCTTAGTTTAATACCGGCACATGCATGCCAACACTCAATTTCTTTACCTCTCTTCTCTCTTTTTGTAACTCCTACATTTTCCCTCTTCATATCATTTAAGGGCAACTAAATTAAAACTATTAAACAAGAAAGAGAGAACTACTACACATACAATCAATGTGAAAATTACAAACTTGAATAATTAAAACAGTGAAATTAATGTCATAATATTATATGTCATACAATTTACGAAGAACATCTTCAAGTGTCTCACCCACTCCTTGTTGAAATGATTGGAAGAAGATATCATTCCATTTTCCTTCTTTAATTAAATGTGACACAAATTCACACTTTTGAATTTCCTTTCCTATCTCCTCATATTTTCTATTGTGTTCGTCACCTGTAGGATCTAGTACATTAACTATTAACCATCCCAGTTGCATGTAGTCAGTACTCCCATCATGAGGCAAATGCTGAGCTTTGTACATGCAACTGTTTGCACCTGAAAATGATGAATGACGATATTCAGCAGGAGTACAGGCATCCAAATCAATTAATATTGCTTCGTACTCACTATTAAAGCACACATTTGGTAATCTGAGGTCATTGTGTCTCAAACCACAAGAATGTAACTCTTTAAGAGCTTCTTTAATCGACAGCAGCAGATACTTTAAGCATTCAGAAGCTTCAACAATACTCAAAGGTCCGTATGGTACTTTCTTGTAAGAGTAAATGACGTAAGGATACTTCTTGACAAGTTGTCGATGAATAAATCTTGTAGGAGAATGATGCGCATTACTAGTTAGAAAGAAGAGATTTATTTCCTCTAGATCATACAAAACTTTATAGATGTTTTGTTCCACAAGTTCAGATGTAGATTGAAACATTACATGCCTTACAGATGGTATAGGCTTACAACTGGGTAGTTTCAAAAATGCTAGATCTGATGCTTCTATTTCGATTAAAGTTTTTGATACATCAGTCGGCAAATCAGGTAGGTTACTTGTTTGCTGTATATATATGTCATTAATAGCTTTCAAGCCTTTTTCAATGTCCTCATAACAGGTCAAACTAACCCAAAACTTAAGATCTTTCCACTCTACACTGACTTTAACAATTACGCCAGCTGACTAAATAATAGGTAATGTGAAACAGGTAAAATAGTTCAATGATTTATCCCTACATTTCAGAAGCCGAATCACATTCACCACCCCAATAATCGATTTATAAATGGTGAATTCCATTGGTGATGATAAAACTTCAAAAGTAGTAATTAACTTTTTGTGATTGTGAGAATAAAGTACGATATCAGGCCTCTCTAATGTGTCAGATAACAGAGTAGGTAGCTCATTTACTTTGACGATAGCTTTATTGATTTCGTATTGATCATCCCGTGTGTCCGACAAATGCTGCAACAGGACTTCTTTTGCATACCCTTCACTTTGTCTTGTTGCCTTTCTTTTGTCTTCTTTCACTTCTTCAAGCTGTCCCGGCCCTTCTTCAGATTCTTCGTCTCCTTGATTGTTGTCACATGCTGGTGACAAACCTACCTTAGACCCTACAGCTTTCAAAGTGTACTTATTGTCTTCCTCAATACCGTAATCGGCGTGTGAATAACTTTCAGATGACCACTCAAGGTCAAAATAGGCTGTATTACACACTCCATAACATCTTGCCAGGGCAGTAGCACTAGTAGCACTGGGGGCTCTAGGAAGTTTGCTGTGAGAAATGTAACTGTGAGGCGAAGTGTCTAATTTTCGTTTACGAGCTGAATGTGGAGTCATCACAGGAGGAAATTCGAAAAGGACAAAACTCAGCTCAAGGAAACTGTTAACTTTTAAGTTTAACTTTGCTTTTGTGAGTTTTCAGTTTTGTCTCAACGTGCAACTCAAGTGACCTCATGTGATGCCCCTACCATATACCAGGGTTCGCTCATATTATGCAGATACCATATAGCATAGCCCCAATACCATCATCCATAGATAAATTTTCATTTTTCAAGTGGGTCTTGACATATATTATTTTGACTCAAAAAAGCCAGACCTTTGTTTGATGGTATAGAAAATATGTACCTCACAAGTTCCACAAATGAGTGCACTATATTTTAGATACAATTAGATCTAAACTGAAATGTATTATTTTTATACTTACCTGTAATACGTAATCCAACTCTAGTTTCATGACTGAGCAACATTAAATCCTTTTCTGCTTTAGAAAACCCTTCTCTGTTTTCAACTGAATCTCCATTCATCAAGAAATTGAATAAAATCTTGTTCTAACCACTATTACAATTATAGCTAGGTGTAATTATGTATATGCACAGTTAACAACCCCCTTTAACATATGATCATTACCATGTCTGTATGGGTATAAATTGGGGTTTTTATCTAGTGCCATTGGTAAAATTACTGACATTGAGCATGTCAACAAATCTATTAAACATAGATGCAAACAATGATGTTTCCAATGCTTCATCCCCAGTACTAACATCACTGAAAGCCATTGAAACAGAGTTACTCAGTGCCTACATTTCATTAAAATTATTGTGTAATAATGTGTACATTATACCTGTGATGCTAGATCAACACGCATCTTAGAGAATGAATTTAAATAGATATGCTCGTGCTTTAATTTGTGAGCCATTGAAAGGCCTGATGCTTTCCTTTTATCTGACTCATACAATCTTTTCAGGTGATCCCAAGAAATATCCTTTTCCTTACACTAATAATATATAATGCATTTGACATGTTTAATTTAAGTCAATCACATACCCATTATGACCGTACTTTAAAATCCCAGCAGTTTTGAGTTGTTTTAATTAGATGTGCTGTGTCAGAAAAAAATATACCTATTTATCAATGATTACAGCTAGTCTTAGAAATAATTACCTTTCCTCAGTAGCATATACATTCTTCACTTTATTCATGCACTTAAATGATTGACCATGAATCTTCAAAAGACGGCGATTAATTGAAAGACCATCAAAAGTGACACCCATTACCTACAGTATTGTAAGGAATTTAAAAATAGATTTTATATTGTTTATACCTTTAAGTCCATCCTCTCAAGTCTAAACACTGAATCCCAAAATGGTTTGTACAACAAGTCTCCAGACATGGAAATAGAAGATATGGGAAGCGAAAACCGGAAAATAGGCTCTTAATCATAAATACCATCATGGTTTTTTTGCAAGAGTGGGCATCTGTAGCTCATCTCCTTCAGTGACTTGCGAAGCTGAGCCAACAGCAACCAATTTTTTTGTCAGACTACCAATTTTTCATCAGGAGGCCAGAGACCAAGCACATCGTAATGAATTCTAACAGCACACCTGAAACATCAATTATACAAGTACACGTACAGTAGAGGTTACTTTCACAAAACTGACAATCATAAGATTTCACTGATGTAGTCTACATTTTTCTCAAACTCTAGTATTTTACTCTATGTATACTCGTAAAACAATAGTACATTTACAACACAGCTATTACTAATATGTATACAAAATATTATATTTGCATACATTATACATGCATTGCGATTATATATGCATAATATTATGCATGTATGTCACTTTATGGTCAAATAAATTTGTTGCGCAATATATGTGTTGCGCTTGACCATCATTTCACATGTTGCTTATCTGTAAGCTCACATTCAAATATATATTTGGAGTACAGATCTATGCCTTGGCTGATATATGTAAAATGGAATTTTACATGTGCAGGAGATGATGAATTACAAAGGGTGCTTGAAGAGCAATGAAATAAAATATGTGACCAAATGGACATGCAGACCAGTGCCACTGCTAAAAGCTTGTAAATATGTATGGAGACTATGGACCTTATAATCCTTTTTAAGTCTGATACCCTCCAGTGTGTCTACATGCTTGTCGTTCCACTCCCACCCAGGAGGGAGTTTAAATTAAACCTATCACGATCCTCCTTCACTTTACCAGTAGAGTCAGATCATGGGTTCTTAGCCACTAAGATCTTGCTTTATATCCTAAGCTGAGAAGCCTAAATGATCAGCAACATAAGTATAAACATTTAAATTCTATATATACATGCATGCACAAGCAGTATACCAGGGTTTTCCACAGAATTGTAGCATAGTGGTCATGCAGCTTCTGTCAGTAGATTGTTAAGTAAGTTGCTCAAAAATTTGGCTAAGGACTAGAGTATTTCGACAAGAATCTTCCATTTTTAGTTTTTTTTCTGAAGCATATATTATGTTATGTCAGTTGTGTAGAAAATTTGAGAATTAACTGTCCATTCTCCATAATCTGGATGATAATAATTGGTGTCACCAATGATATTTTTTAAACGATTATAGCAAAAGCTAATAATAAATTATCAATATAGGTTAGATGAAATAAATGATTTTAATTTAGAAATACAGAAAGATAGTTTGATAGAGGACGGGAGAAAGTTCCATTGATTAATGCTCGATGGGAAAAAAGAGTGAAGAAAGGACGAGGATTTGCAGATGATTGGTTTAAGATTGCCTTGATAATTTGAGCGAAGAGAGTAAAAAGAAGGAGTAAATTGAATTAGAGGATGAGATGATGAGAAAAGCATGCTTTCTTTAATTTTAAACAAAGTGATAAGTTTGAATCCCAAGCGATGTTGTGCTAAAGTAATAAGAAAAAACTTGGACAAAAGATCCCTATATGACGAAGACCAAGATTTAGAAACCATTTTTAATGCAAAATACTGAACTCCTTCAATGGAAGAAGAGACAGAAGGGGAATTGGATCCCAAACAACAGCAGCATATTCTAGAATGGGATGAATTAGAGTTACATAAAGACTAAGGAGAGTTGAGGAAGATGAGTTACGATAAAAGTGACAATAAGTTCTATTACTTTATGGGCCTTTTTTACTGAAGAGATATGAAGATTCCATGAAAAATTGCATGTGAAATGTAGTCCCAGGTATTTAAATTAAAGCACACGTTCAATTAGAGAATCTTTTAGGTGAAGGGGAAGGTGATGAAAAGTATAAATTGAGGCTTGTGGGAAAAAATCATAAATTTAGTTTTAGAACAGTTAAATTATAGTTGATTTGATGATGCCCATTGATTAAGCGAGTTGTTAAGATCACTTTTAATAGTGTCTACTGCCTATTACCATAAATCTGGTTTATTTTGCATGATGGTAATTTTGTAAAGCATTGAGGCATACTAAATTTAGAATTGCTAATAATTTTTGCCTATTAATATATTAAGATAAATAGGCAGCATATGAAAATTTCTAACATCATTTTTATTCCATATTTTGACCATTGAATATTACCCGATTTACAGTAATTTTAGATTTAAATTGGTACATTGCCTAAAATTAATTTTTATTAAAATTTTAAAACTAGCCCACACCATATTGAGCTTAGCGTCTAATTCATAATGTGCTGCAGTTTAATGTGTTGTACTATTGACTTCAATTGCTTGCTGTCTCTCGTAGTGATGGAGTGTCTTACACTTTGTGGACAAGGTGGGAAATAAATGGTAGTCCTGAAAAGAGTTTATACAGGCAGTGAAGGTAACCTAAAAATGAATAATGATTTGCATGTGAAGTGTACATCAGGGTTTCCCACTGGCATAGTGCTAATGCATGCTTCTTGTCAGAAGTTTGTCAAATTGCTAAAAAATTGGGCCAAAGGATATTTTGATAAAAATCACAAGGAAAAAATTCTCCATTTTAATAATATTTTCCAATGCATATTTGTGTCCTAATGCTAATTCTGATCAAGTTAGAATTAAAAAATTTTTTTAAGTTACTCAAAAATTGGACCAATGACCAAATTTCGTCAAATTTTGTCAGAAATCGCTCTGAGAGAATCCTCCATTTTTATAATTTATTCTGATACACACACGTTCTTATGTTGTGTAGAAAATTTGGGCTGATTCCAATCAAATATGGATTTTTGTAAATTTTTTAAAATGCTCAATAATTGGAAAAAACAGGGACTTTAGCCAAATTTCATCAAAAAATGGCAATGAGAGAATTCTCCACTTTTATAATTTTTTTTCTAATACATACTGTATGCATGTAATTATCTTGTGTAGAAGTTTTGAACTGATTTTAATCAAAATAGATTTTTCAATAATTTTAAAAGTTTCTCCAAATGCCATATACTATATTGTAGCAATTATCAGCTCATGAAGCTCATGCCGTTTAGCTCACTTAGCATGCTTCATAGGAAATCCTAGTGTACATGCATATGATTTTCTACCTTTCTTTCTATTTTTCCCTTTCCATTAGTTAGTACAATTTTGATGTCAGCATGGTTGTGTTAGGTGTTAAAATGATATATGATCCTTTATTACCAGGACATAAGAAGAGACTAACACAAACGTAAGATATATCAGTTTTGATGTGAAACAGTATTAATAATATCAATCAATATCAGTGTTAATATCAATTATGTCAGTGATGATAATATCAGAGTCAGTTTTCTATTATTGATAATATTTTGTCTTTTTCATAATAGGATGAAATCTCTTCTTGCTAAATCAGTTTCTGCTCAGTCTACTTACGTTGACTTGACGTTATCTTTTAATAATGATTTACCAGGACCTCCTGTTAGATATTATTTTAAAATTATCATTATTGAGCAAATAAAAATAGTCTAAGTTATACTAATTTTGTTATTTTTATTATTTAAACAAGGCCCTGCCAATTTAATAGATTCATGTTTCATGACGTTTATTTAAAATAATGTGTCTTCAAAAGTATACGAGTGGATCTAATCCTGCTAGAGGTGTTTAAATTTTGTATATCAGATCTACCTCTCTCTAGCTGTTTGGGGTGTTTCAAATTATGTGTTGGGACTATGGAATATTCACTATTCAGTGATTCTTGTGTAGTTGGAGAAGGTCTTTGTTTCTGCTGTAAACCTGTCTTACCAGAGAGGAGCGTAACAGACTATGGTCAGCTGATTGTAATTACTGTATCAGTAAGCAGTTATAATAATCACATTTGAATATGCATCATCTATGTGTGTGTAGACACTATGCATTACTTATTTATTGAGCTGTGAATCTACTGCTCAATAGCAGTCATCATGTCCTAAACCACTAAAACTGATACCAGTAATTTACAAAGAGGGATTTTGGCAATTTAAAAACATCCATTTGCCAATTATGCCAATCACTAAAAAAATTCAGCAATTCACTAATTATAAAATTTTGGCTTCAAAGTTCTATACTATAGCTAGATTTATCATGATAAACTCACAAACCCAAAAAAGAGAAACAAGACTGTTGTACTACTTCCGACTCTATTAAGCTCAACTGAGATATTAAATATCTTGGTATTGTTAATGGTCCTAAATTATGTGAGGGATGAGGACTGAGTCAATGGATTGAGGTAGAGAGGCACTGACATGCGAATATTTTTAATTTTTTGATTGTTATAGTGCTGCAATTCATAAGCACATTGATAAAAAAGCTGCAATAGGTTGATTATCTGATTAATTATAAAGAGAACAAATAAACTATCAAATTTAGTAAACAAATATAATTAATAATAACAATAATAGTCAGAAAGCAAAGCAATAAATGTGCATGTATCATGCCATGTACAAACAAAGAATCAATTTCTAAAAATAACAGTAATAGGTAACATGATAAAATTTCGAAAAGATAAATACAAAAAGTGAGAGAAAGAAAAACTGTGAAGCTGTGATTTGTTAGTCAGGCGGGCCCACCTGACTAGTGATTTGTAGTGATGCAATAGAAATAATGGCCTTCCTATATGCCATATTGTGCTGCTGCTTAAGTTCCCATGCAAGTAAAGAAGAGCTAATGTTAAAATAAGTCATGTAATGATGGATTTTCATTACATTGCCATATCACTTGAAATAAAGAATAACAAAAAGTGAAGATAGTATGGTTCTTGATAATTTGTCTTTTTTATGTCTAATCCTCACCTAGTTTCATTCTTTTGGTAATTTGATGTTCCTCAATACCTGCACCTGTTGTTGTTCGCTTGAAATATCTTCTTCTTTCCTCCTCCGTCATATCAAGAATCATTTCATGATAGGCCTTTTCAAGATATTTAGCTAATAAAGAATCAGGATTAACGGCCTGAGCTACTTCAATATCATGAGGATGAGGTTTTAAATTATATCTCTCAATGAGAAACCTAACAAGCTCCAAGTTAGAACTCTTGCTAGCATAATAAAGCAGGGTTTTTAAATCATTTGTTTCCACTAGTGCATTGCAATTATGATCAGCTAGAAAGTATTGTACTAACTCCATATTACCAGCTTCGCATGCTCCATGAACTGAAGTGTATCCATTATTATCAGGATCATCAGGAGTACAGGGAAAGGTCTCTATGAGATAACGTACCATACGAATATTATTAGAACGAGAAGCATAATGAAGAGGAGTACGACCAGACTTGTCTTTAGGTACTGGATTAGAGACAATGTTTGGTTCTAGATACTGGTACATATCAACCAATGAAAAATCAAACAACAAAAATTCATTTATTTCTGCTAGTAAATGTAAGCAAGTGATGCCTTCTTCATCTTCTAATAAAGGATCCAGTCCATGTTCCTCAATTAGTATTATTACTACTTCTATATTTCCACCCTCACATGCTGCATGAAGTAAACCACGTCCTCTATTATCCATTACATTAACACCTTGAGGATAAATACTGGCTAAATAAAAAAACACATCAACATGTCCATTACTGCAAGCTGTATGAAATGCGGTGCATCCTTTATCATCAGTAGCTGTAAGGAGATGATGATGTGTAGAACTATCAGTTACTGAAGACAGTAAAGCCTCAATACTTTCTTGATGACCTGCAGCAGCTGCTATGTGCAATGGTGTCTGCCCTTCCTTGTTAGTTAATAATAGACAAATAGCAAAAAAACTAGCTCTTAACAAAAGTTCTACCACACTTTGCTGTCCTGTACTACAAGCTATGTGGAGTGGTGAATTACCATTATTATCTTGAGCATTAACATGAGAAATTAAATCTTGGGGACAGTCTAATAAACACTTAGTGTTACGTATCCAATCCACACTAACTGAGGGAATGGTCTTGTTCAGTAAATATTCTATTACATCTAATCTATTAGCTAATACTGCATCATGTAGCGGTGTACTCTTGTTGTGATCAATTGCAACAGGATTACAATAATTATTATCAAGGAGATACTTTAATACAATCAAGTGACCTATTGCTACCGATATGTGAACTGCTCCAGAACCTTCATCATCAGTAGCTGATAAATTGCACTTCTTACTGATAAGAAATTTAATAACTTCTAACTGATTAAAACGTACTGCAATAAGGAATGGAGTACGACCATGATTTCTTACAGGTAGTTCAAGTGATGATGGTATTTGTTTTATAATGTACTGGACCAAGTTCAATCTTCCCTTAATACATGCATAGTGAATAGGAGCCATTCCCTCATCATTCAGAGCACACAGATCTAACTCATGATTCTCTACTAGATGCTTGAGTATAGGAAGAGAGCCACTGGACATACAGGTAATGTGAAGAACTGTTGATCCATTAGAAGTAGTAGCTGCTACATTACACTGAGAAAGACTAGTGAGATAAAGTACAACAGGAATATGACCTCCTTCACATGCTCTATGAAGAACTGTACTACCAGTAAGAGTAGTAGTGGCGTTAACATCACACTGATACTTGTTGATCAGTTCCTGTAGACAATGTAGCTTACCGTTAAAAGCAGCTGAATGAGCTAGTGTGAGCTTGTTACTGTCAGTGTGATTAGTAATATCCACACTATACTCCTGACTGTACCATTCCAGTATATGAGTATGACCATTCTGAGCTGCTGCATGTAATACTGAGAAGCCAGAGTTATTAATATTGATAGGTTCAAGATTGTATTGTTGTATCAGTAATTGTACTAGATCAAGATTGCCAGAGAAACAGGCATGCATGACACAACTACTACCATGTCCATCAGTAACAGTGACATCACACTTCACGTCATCTATTAGAAAAGTCACCAATTGAAT